GGGTCTGCACCGGAGGGACAGACGCCCTACCCCGGTGGCCCTGGGCTCCACACCCGGAGGGCAGGGGGCCAGAGCTGAACGGCAGCTTCTGGACCTCTGACCTCACAGGCGCACACAGCCGTCCAGCCCGCGACCTGAGATGCAGTCACTTTGCTTTTTAAATACATAAATAACAACTCGATTAAAAAATGAAAAACAAACGCAGGTCTTTGTCGCCAAGTGTTCTCAGAGTCTCACCTCTAGTCCCGTGTGGCGCTCTAACTCTCCGGAGGCAGAGGCTCGTCCAACGCCTCTCCTTTGGCCATTTTGGAGCTCAGCGGACTTCCCCGGGGGCTTCATCTGAAACACGAAACGGCTTCTCCTCAGTGCCATCGATGACCTCCCGCGAAAACAGGGCCTTCGTCCTGCGGAGGCGCGGCCTCTTCAGCCCGTCTCTTTGTGTAATGAAATCTCAAGAGGTATTCTCGGGGTGCCTTCTGTTTTAGGGACCTCGGCGTTCATCTTGTCCCCTGCCTCCTGCCTCACTGCAGTATCATCGAGGACACTTTGGGGAGCCCTCAGTGGCCTCCTGGTGCGGGATGCCTTGGCTTCCTCTGTTCTGGGCTGGAATGCGCGGCTGGGCTGGGGATGGGGACAGTGGGACACAGGGTGGATCTGGGGTTAGGCTCACTGACCTTTTCCTCAGCTGCTCTTGTCTCTTTCTGGGTTCCCTGCCATCTGTTCCAGTGCACCCGGGGCCACCATCTAGTTCTGAAGACATCTGGGCTGATGTCCCCCTGCACAGCTGCTGGGGACCCAGGCCTGGGGGCCGCATCATGCACCAGCAACTTGAGAAGTTTGTGCACAAGTCTTGTTCAAGAGTTCTTCTGGAATCCTGGGTGGGTTGAATTTATGTCACTTGGCCAGGTCTTTCTAAAAAAGAAAAAAAAAAAGCTTGAAAATGTATAGAGGAAATTGTGTTGATTATATAATTACTGGATCGATGGTGGGGAAGTGTGTGGGGTTGGGGCTTAAAACTCTTCTTCCTTTAGGATAAGAACCTGTTTGCTGGACAAGAAGTCTGAAGACACCCTCATGATCTGAGGCATCTGGCCCTGGGATTTACCTGCGGCTCCTCCCACAGGTGACCCACGTGACCCTGGGAGTCTGAGATGGGAGCAGAAAACCCAGCCACAGACCTTGTCAGAGCAGGAGGCTCTCGGAGAGCAGGTCTGGAGGGTGGGCCTGGTTCCAGGCTTGTCCAGGCCAGTAGGCTCCACCTCTGCTCCCTCGCTTGTTCCTTGGCAGCAGCAGAAGGCAGCATGCTCTTCTCCCCATTTTACAGGTGAGTAAACAGAGGCCTGTGGATGCTTGCCCCAAACACCCCCGTCCTGGAGGAGTCATGGGCAGACTGTGCGGGGGTGGGCAGGGCGTGGAGGAGGGTGGTTGTTACACTTCTCTGTCAGATCCATTCACCTGGGAAGCACTAATTTCCCAAGGGAGCCCCTTCGGGGCCTCATAGGACACTGTGAGGGCTTTATAGGTGCAAAAGAGCGGAAGCGTCCCTCCCAGTGGTGCCTTTCCTAGGACTCAAATCCACCACCTTAGCCTCAAAGTGGGTGACCACGGGCTTGGAGGAAGTAGAAATACTCACTTATGCACCCACTGGGTCACAGGGCCCAGGGTGGAGGTCGCCTGAGCATGGTAGGTGGTGAAGGCAAACTCTCTTTCTGGCCACATCCCTGCCCCCATTCTAGCTGTGTGGCCTTGAGTTGGAGGCTCTTCTTCCCCTTCACAGTGCGCAGGGAGGAGGCTTGAACAAGATAGTGCCATGAAAGAGGGCTTTATAACCTGAAAAGCGCGCTATACTTGTCAGCTTTTAATTTTCTTATTCTCCCGGGGGCTGGTTCCTCTGTTCTTGAAATTGTGAAGCAAGCTTCCCTCCCTTCTCCGTGGCTTGTGGAAGCGCCTCCAGTCAAGAATCCCTCTGCTGACTTCATTGTGAAAAAATATTTTTATTTTTTGTTGAGCTCTGCAGAGCTGCACTGTCTGCTGACTGCTCTCTGGTTTTGTCAAAGGATCGAAGTCTAAGGCACTTCATGTTGAGGACCTTTGTTTGATGAACACCTGATAAAAGTAATCAAGAATGAAAGAGAAGTCAGAGGACCTCCCCCCGAAGTGCCACCTCATTCCATTTCTAAACCATAAGCATTAGTGGGAGGGGCCGAGTCTCATAGCACAGGTAGTTAATAATTACAATGAGGATAGCAGTAAAGCCTGCAGCATTTTACTTTAAATCTGGTCCTGAGCTGCCCTGAGGGGTGCCCAGGCCTCAGGGTCACCAGTGTCACAGAGCTGCCTCTCTCCACCAGACCAGGCCACTCTTCTCACTCAGTGCCCAGGAGTTGGGGTCAGGCCTTGGGAGCTGGGCGGGGGTTCTGAATCCTTTCCTGAAGAGCCAGACTCCTCTGGGAAGGTGGGATTTTTGATGCAGAGAAGCCGGTGCAACTTTGAGGCAGCCTCTGGTGATTCAGGGCAGGCGACTAGTCTGGTTTTTTTTTTTTTTTTTTTTTTTTTTT